AGGAAAACTGCATCTTAGAATCAAGAAAACAGGATACCTGTTGCTGTGGAAAGATGTTCATTATGTTATTCTTTTACTACCAAAATGGGCCCTAATCAGTGGTAGAAGCTAGATTCCAAGTTCCAGTGGTTTACCTGCTCAGTAATCTCTCCATCAGCTCCAGATATGTCTCCTCTTGGTCTAGAGATCTGTGAAGTAATCTGCCTTCTGCTCTTTCTCTTTTTCTCTCCTCCTTTCTTTTCTCTCTCTCCCTCTCACTCACTCACCATTATACACAATGGAACAAGGATAGGAGAGCCATAATAAGCACTCTTACTAGAAAAGGAGAAGAATCAGAGATACACAGTAATTGCTGATCTATAATAATTTTTTTTTGAGACAGAGTCTCTATCGCCTAGGCTAGAGTGGCGTCAGCCTAGCTCACAGCAACCTCAAACTCCTGGGCTCAAGCAATCCTACTGCCTCAGCCTCCCGAGTAGCTGGGACTACAGGCATGCCCCACTGTGGCTGGCTAATTTTTTCTATATATTTTTAGTTGGCCAATTAATTTCTTTCTATTTTTAGTAGAGACAGCGTCTTGCTCTTGCTCAAGCTGATTTTGAACTCTTGACCTTGAGCGATCCTCCTGCCTGGGCCTCCCAGAGTGCTAGGTATAAGTCTGAAATCTCCCTAGGCAGATCTTTGTAAAATAGCAGCCCTGGAGGTAGGGGAGATCCTTGATTAAACCTTATCTAGAAGGAACTCTCTCATCCATTGTTCTCCCTAACCTTTAGCCATTGTTCTCTTAGACTCTCCAAGAACCTCCTGGCATGTTCTTTTTCCATTATCACCCTTGGCCACATATGAAGTGGGTGTTGGGGGAATATCCCCTCTTTGGAAGGTGCAAATCTTTCTCAAATATTCTACTCCTCATAGAAGTTGGGAACCCAAGGGCTTTACATTTTGAATAGACAAAAGCTTGTTTAGTCTGAGCTTGAAGTGATTAAAAATAAATATTTTTTCCAACAAAAGGGTTTTCTCAAAGTTATTAATAAGCCTTTTCGCATTTGTTTGGTTTCCATCAGTTCCATGTGTCTGTAACCACAACCAAAGTTCACGTTAGTTAACTCATCTAAAGGTTTGAGAGCTTCCATTCCTCTTCTACTCAATTGGTTATTCGAGGCTACTAGGTTTGAATTGGAAAGCTATGCCCTTAATATGATCCAAAGCACTATAGTCATTTTTCCTTTTTTAATTTTCTATTTTGGAAAATTTCAAGCATACACAACAGTAAAAAGAATAGTACAACGAACCCTTATATACCCATCACCCAACTAGAACAGTCTTCAACTTATGACCACTTTTGTCTCATCTACCGTGTTTCCCCGAAAATAAGACCTACCCATAAAATAAGCCCTACCAGGATTTCTAAGCGTTTGTGCAATAGAAGCTCTACTCTGAAAATAAGACCTAGTGATGGGTGCGGCCATGCAGTTTATCTGCACAACCCATGCATTTCCTCGCGGAGTGGTAAAGATGAGCAGCCCTTCTCATCTGCCCCATCATGACAGCTACTATCCCAGAGGTGACCAGAAAGGTCACCACCAACAAGGTTGGCTCCCCCTGTCAATCCCGGCCATCCTGTGCGTGCTGCAAGCTGAGGCTTTGAAGGGAAAGTCTCCTCAGTGAAGTGAGGAGCAGGACACTCTGCTTTAGGTATTGTGTGTCCCCAGGGGGAAGAAGGAAAGCTATGGCTGCCATTTTACTATGGTGATGTTTCAGAAGGAGACGACTTAGCTATATTTGAATAAATGTAGATTGTTGTACTGTACTAAAAAAAAAATAACATATCCCCTGAAAATAAGCCCTAGGGTGTCTTCTTGAGGAAAAATAAATATAAGACCCTGTCTTATTTTCGGGGAAACAGGGTATATCCCCATCCATTTGAGCATACAGCCAAAGTACTTTGAAATAAATTCCAGACCTTATCTTTTATTCCCAAGTATTTCAACATGTAGATGAAAGAGATAAGCTTAAAATAAGTTTTTAATTACATAAACCTAAAACACATTATTACACATATACCAGAATTGTCATTACTGTGACCATTGTGTACTCAGATATTAGCAATGTTAGGAATTGCATCATCAAAGCACAGAGTTATAAAATAGAGGACTAGAACAAATCTCTCTGGTCCAGCCTTTTCTAAAGTATATTCCATAGAACTGAAGCTCATGAAATGCCCTAGGGGAAAAAATTTAAATAAGATAAATTGGGCAACACTACATTGTCTTGTGAGTGTACATGATTATGTAAAAGAATGAGATGTCCTATTTTGTGTATTGTGATCCCATTTTGGTTAATAATATATGTTAGAATATGAAGTATTAATAGTGATTATTCTTAGTTTCTTGTGGTTTATGTAATAAATCACTACAAATTTAGTGGCTTAAAACAACATAAATTTATCCTCTCACAGTTTTGGAGGCCAAAAGTCTAGAGTCAAGGTGTCAGCAAATCTGCTGTCCCTCCATAGGCTCTAGGAGAGAAGCTGTTCCTTGCCGGTCCAGCCTCTGTTGTCTGCAGGCATTACCTGGCTTCTGGTCACATCACTCCAACATCTGTCTTTGTCCTCACATTCCCCCCACCCCTTTTCTGTGTGAATCAAATCTCCTGCCTCATAAGGACACTTGTAATTGCATGTAGGACTCACCCTTGATAATCTCTCCATCTCAGGATCCTTAACTTAATTACATCTGCAAAGTCCCTTTTTCTAAATAAGATAAAATTTATAAGTTCCAGGGATTAGGAGGTGGATATCTTTTGAGAGGCCTGTTTTCAGCCCACTATGGTGATTCTCACTGTTAAGGGAGATGAATTATGAGGAACTTCTACTTTATATATTTATGTAATATTTATATAAATACTTGAATTTTTCAATGAGGAAACATCTTTTATAACTAGAAAAAAAAATCACAACCTATTAAGAGTAAAAAGAGGCTGGGCGTGGTGGCTCACGCCTATAATCCTAGCACTCTGGGAGGCCGAGGCAGGCGGATTGCTGGAGGTCAGGATTTCAAAACCAGCCTGAGCAAGAGCGAGACCCCGTCTCTACTATAAGTAGAAAGAAACTAATTGGCCAACTAATATATATAGAAAATATTAGCTGGGCATGGTGGGGCATGCCTGTAGTCCCAGCTACTCGAGAGGCTGAGGCAGTAGGATCGCTTGAGCCCAGGAGTTTGAGGTTGCTGTGAGCTAGGCTGACGCCACGGCACTCACTCTAACCTGGGCAACAAAGTGAGACTCTGTCTCAAAAAAAAAAAAAAAAGAGTAAAAAGAAGGAATATGTCATCTGCATTTACAAGTTTAACAAATATTTTTGTACCACCTACTATTGACCAGGTCTCATGGTAGGAAAATGGAGGCAAATGCTTTATCTTGACAGGAAGAAGCAAAATTGTGCTGCTTTTTCTTTTCTTTCTTCTCTATCAAAGAGAATGATCTTGGAAATGGTAAAATAACAGTAAAAATAAAATGATGATTAACTTGGAGTTGAAACCCAAAATAAGTGAGATATTAAAGGAATGTGTAGATCCTATAAATGAAACCTAAATACTGAAAGAACTAATATGTGAGACTGCACAGCTGATGCTGTTAATCCTTGATTGTGGAGAAATGGGTAGGTTTTAGAAGACCCGATATGGGAAATATGTTCACTTTCAGAAAGGACCAGAGGCGACTTCTGCAAACTTTAGACTGGTGAGCTAAATATTAAGCCTTGAAAAATTCATTAGTAAGCTATTGAATTAATATTTTGGGAATGCTTAGAAAAGAAATTGCTTATCATTAGGGACCAGCTTCCTTCATAAAAGCACAAGGTATGTCAGTTCTAATTGCATTCACGAAATGATTATAAATAGATTGGGTTATGTTGTAGACAGAATATGTGTAATTTTCAGATGACAAAGTTCATTTTTTTTTTAACAAAATAGAGAAATGTGGGCTGCTTGTCAATGTAAGTGTGGTTGATTCATAACTAGTTTTGCAGTTGTACCACAGGAGTACTGTTTAATCAGGTAAGTCATAGGAAACTATACCTCTAGTGGTTGCTACAGGCCGTGTCCTGTCTTAGGCCTGCTGCATATATATATATGTGTGTGTGTGTGTGTGTGTAATTAATTTCTATAAATATAAATTCAAACATAAAAAATAAGTTTATTTTAAACAGCTCTGTTAAGATGTAATTTATATCCCATAAAGTTTAGCCGTTTAAAGTGTATTATTCAAATGTTATAACTCTTTTAGAATTTGTCTAGTAGGAAAACCCTCCCCCCATGCAGAATGAATGAATGAATGAGTAAATAAATAAATAAAATTAAAATAAAGTGTACAATTCAGTGATTTTTAGCATATTTACAGAGCAGTACAGCCATCAACATGATCTAATTTTAGAATAGAAAATGGATTTATTTTTTACACAGTATTTTGAAGCTTGCTTTTTTTGCTTAAGAATACATTATGGGGCGTCTGTTCTTATCTGTACATATAGATAGAACCACATCATTCTTTTTAACTTAGTCACATATTATATAAAGGTACTATGAATTACTTGAACAATCCTCCACTGATGAGCATCTAAACTGGTGTCATCTTTTGGTGTTATAAATGATGTTGCAAAAATCCTATGTCTTCACACAGTTGTTTGTATATTCCTTTAGTTGTATTGCATTGTTCCTTTTTTTTTTTTGAGGCAGAGTCTCACTTTGTTGCCTAGGCTAGAGTGAGTGCCATGGCGTCAGCCTAGCTCACAGCAACCTCAAACTCCTGGGCTCAAGCAATCCTTCTGCCTCAGCCTCCCAAGTAGATGGGACTACAGGTATGTGCCACCATGCCCGGCTAATTTTTTCTATATATATTAGTTGGCCAATTAATTTCTTTCTATTTATAGTAGAGACGGGGTCTTGCTCTTGTTCAGGCTGGTTTTGAACTCCTGACCTCGAGCAATCCGCCTCCCTCGGCCTCCCAGAGTGCTAGGATTACAGGCATGAGCCACCGCGCCTGGCTTTGCATTGTTCCTTTTAATCCTTGTTCTATCCTAAGGTAGATGTAACTCCAACCATATTATGCATCAGGAGTCAGTTTCAGAGAATTACAAGTACATGTTGGTAATAATTAACAGAAAAAATGGCTTGAATCACATTTTTTTGTTGTTGTATTTCCATTATAAGTGCTGTGCTCTTCTAGCACTTGTAGGATTTTGACAAAGTGTATCCAGAAGAGCATGACTAGAGTTAGGGAAGGGTTAAAGTAACTGAGGATATTTAGGAGGTACATGTTTATTTCATTTATTCAACATATATGTTTGTTTATCAAGCATCCACTATGTGGATGGTAGATAAACAGTGGTTACAAGACAAACAAGGTCCTCAACTTTCATGGACCATTTATTTCAGTGAGGGGAAATGGACAATTAACAAGTACACAAGTAAGATATTTTAGATAGTGATACATACTATCAAGAAAAGGATAATTAAGTGTTCATGGAAAGGCTGTTTGAGGGCTGAGACTTAAATGACAAGAAGGCAATATTTATATATCTATTAATATATCTGTAGATATCTTTATGTAACATGACTGGTAATTATATTTAATATGATTAGAAATAGGCTTCCAGTAATTAGCAATGTTTCAATCCCAGCAGTATCACTTACACACTATTTACCCAAACTCTCTGAACTTCAGTTTCTGCATCTACAAAGTAGAGATAGCAAGCCTACCTTACAGAGGTATTAGCATGGCTAGATAAGAAGGTAGGCAAAATCGTCTAACATTGGTCTATACCAGGCTCTCACTAGGCACTGAGCGAGATTTCATGAAACTCCACATGAAAAAAGCATTTCTAACACTTCTTACAGACTATAAATGGAATGACTTCCTTGAGTTAGTGATTTCTGTATTGGTGATGAACATTTAAGTCCCCATTTAAGCCTTCAGATGATTATTCTCCCAGTTGTAGAAGACATTCATGCATTAAGTGAGTAATAAGACAAGTTGACTTGAGGGAGCCGGTCCCTAATCCATTGTTGATAAGCTTACTGTCTGTAGAGGCCCAGTTCACAGCTTGGGAAATAGACCCAAGCATCTGTTTTTGAAACATAAAGGGGTCTTCTGGAATAGTGGTTTAAAAACCTTTTTAAAGCAACAGTACTCTTTCTTCTAAAGAAATCTTTTATTGAAGTCTAATTTGTAAAATCTTTTAAAATTAATTGGAGCCACCAAGTGTAGTTGATAACGAGAGGTTGCCTGTTGTATTGTTCACTTAGTAACTGCTTGCATTTGTATATGCTTTATATGCTTACTAAAGTACTCTTTATTCTTTTATCATCATAACCGCTTGAGGTAAATCCATTTTATAGGCTAGGAAAATATTTAACTTGTCCTGATCCTACAGTAATCCTTAATGGAGTCAGGACTATAGCCTGAATCTCTCAGTTCCTATATCAGTGGGGTTTTCTTTTAGTACATGGTACTGCTTTATTAATCACTTTATAGCTTTTATTTATTTTTTTCTTTTATAGGGTTAATTATTTAGATTGCAAAGAATTTTAACATTCCTGGGGACTTACTCGAAGGATCATTTTCACTCAGGAAGGATCATTTCACTCATTTTACTCAGAAGAAACTCTGAATATATCAAGTAGTTTACAGAAGTCCTTTGTGTGGGTTAAATATATAGATGTTTTCATGAAGAGGAGTGAAAAGCCAGAGGGATATAGACAAATGAGGCCTAAGACTTTTCCTGCCAGTAACTACACTGGCAGTAGCCGGCAAATGTTGCAAGAAATTCGGGAATCCCTTAGGAATTTATCCAAACCATCTGATGCTGCTAAGGCTGAACATAACATGAGTAAAATGTCAACTGAAGATCCTCGACAAGTCCGAAATCCACCCAAATTTGGGACGCATCATAAAGCCTTGCAGGAAATTCGAAACTCTCTACTACCATTTGCAAATGAAACAAATTCTTCCTCCCGGAGTACTTCAGAAGTTAATCCACAAATGCTTCAGGATTTGCAAGCTGCTGGATTTGATGAGGTAAGAACTTTTAAAGATGGAAGAAAGGGTTCTTCTTACCTTATACTACATAACACTTTTTAGGTGAACTTATGCTGAAGTGCTTCCTTTGAGAGAATTTAACTGTGTATATAAATTATGTATTCTGTCAGCAACGAATGTTGTGTTTACAATTCCATTAATTATTATAACAAAATAATTGTTATTTCTTTAGTTTCTTCTGTGATACCTATCACTAAATAATGGAGTTTCTGGAATTTAAAAGGCCAGGTCATGAAGTCAGAGTCCAAGTGCAGTTGAAGAAAGCCACAGGTGAGGGTAGGGGAAGGATGTCTGTTTGTGTGAAATATGAGCTTGGTGAGCTAAGTGGCTGTTGGGGAGGAGACAGCTCCAAGGACATGAAGTTTAAGTTCATAGTGGGGAGAAAGAACTATGGTCATGAGTTGATTAAGCAGTTACGTACTTAGGCCCAAATCTTACTTCATAAAAACTAAGGAAATTTCAGCTTATGCTAACTATGCCAAGTCTTTAATATTTACCTTCAGAACTCATTTTGAAATTTTTTCATAGCATATATATTTAAATCATATTTTGTTTAGGTTAATAGAATTTGTTTCTTATGATAATATACCTTGTCAGCACATAAATATTTCAGGTAGCAGAAATAATTTTAGAAAAATATTGGCTATGGAGAATGTAAAATATAACTGGGATATAACTAAATATAAATGGGAATAACTAAGAATTAATTACATTTTTAGAAATTGTAACTTTTTTCTGATTATAAAAATAATTACTATTCTTTATGAAAAATTAAGAAGTATAAAGAAGAAACTGAAAATTACATTTATCTCTACTATACAAAAATAACTACCCTTAGAATTCTTTTACTGTTTTTAGTATTTTGGCGACCACATTTCCAGATCTCTCTATATTTAATTTTAAAAATGAGAACCTAAGTGTGCATTGTAGTAAAGGATTTGAAAGGGAGATTTACAACTAAACTAGGAGGAAAAAAGGTTAGTCTTTCTGGCCAATTCTGTTTACCTATTTGAATACTATTTCCTAACATTTTTCTACTTAAGTGCTCTAAAAATATTGGATTTACACCAGAAAATAGAGAAAAGAGGAGGAGGAAAGGATCTGGGATAATGTTTTTCTGGTTGGTAGGTAGAGGATTAAGGAAATGGTCTGAATGGAGATTCTCCAGAGCTCTTCCTAATCCCTTAGCCAATTGGCAAAAAATAAAGAGAATCATTGATTTTATTCTTAACTTTTATATATTGCTAAGGAAAGGAATTATAAAATCACACAGCTGTAAAGGCCTTGAAGTAGTAATGTTATATGTCAGATATGAAACCTAATAGATATGTATTTATGGAGCTTTTTTTATGTGTGAACCCATCAGTCAGGATAGTGAGTGATACCAAACATGATTAATGTCCTATTCTTTATCTAATTGCAATAATAACAATAAGTGCTTTGCATTACAAAGATATATCAGCTTTATTATAATCATACATTTCAAAATTGTTACTTTTATGACATTAATAACATTAAAGGTTGCTCTACTGAAAGTATTTAGACATCTATCATTCTTCATTTATCCAAATAATGAAGTATTATTTATGCCATTGGTGATATAAAGAATATGGCAATCTACTTCTACTATCTCCTTGAATCACTCACTCATTCTGGTAGCTTCCTATTATTGTGTAGAATTTATATTGTTCAAGATCCTAAGTTGGTATTTCAAAATTCTTATCTAGCTTTCACTTATTCTTTTTATCATTTTGTAAACCTATTCCTTTTAACTACACCAAGTTCAAGGCAGTTTATTTTCTTGAGAATTTGTTTCTGGTGACTCTTGTAAAATTAAAAGTTCAACTATTTCAAGATTAATTTCCTCATAGGAGTAAATGTTAAATGCATTCTTAGAGCACATCCATACACAATCACTGGAGTGTATTTTTGTTTATAAGTAAGAAAAACAAAAGCATAATGTGGACATAATGTTTTCTTATCACAAAATTATAGTCTAAGGTTACCAATTTGAGGGTGCTCTTTTTCATATTGCACTAACATCCCAATTTAAGAACAATTGCTTGATATTGTTACAGATGTAAAAAATATTTTAAAACATAGCAATAAATATTAAAAATTAAAAGCAAGCATAATAATCACCAAAATAACAGGCTGACATTCCAGTGTATTAAGCAAGAATATGATTACCTCAATGCTGAAAAAGGATAGTGGGTACCAATTTCTTGCCATCTGAGGTGGCACTGACATGTTATAATAGCATAAATAGAGATATATTTCACTTGGCTTAACCAGCTTTAAAATTTAGCACTCCTTGATGAATTTTAATTTTGAGCGATTTGTATTATTTTAAATTTGCACATAAAGCGAGACTTAATAATTTGTATTTGTATTATTTGTATTTCATTACAAATTTGTAAAGTTTGGTTGACATAAAATGTGACCACAGTGTACCTTTGTATCAGTTAGGGATTGAGTTTGGTTGCTTTTAACAAAAATCCAAATAATAATAGTTTAAACATGATATTGATTCAATTTCTATAGCTATCATTGGCTCAGCCTCTTAAAGTTGTCAGAGCTTATGACTCATAAGTCTCTTGAGTTTTACTTCCTGGTGGCAACATGCTCTAGCACAGGTATCATCTGTTGCCTGGGAGACAGGATGCAGGAAGGACTAGTACCTAAGTCAGGCATAGCATAAATTTTCCAGAAACCCTTGTTTCTTCCAACAAAATCAGTAACGTTTTCCAAGAAAGGGAGATGGACCTTAGGTAGGCAACAAGTTTCTACCACAATCTTTTGTTGGTCTCATGTTTATCTCCAGTCATTTCACATAGGGCGATAAGTAGCCTGTTTGTTCACTCATTAGTCTTACTCAGTCATTATTTATATAAAAATGTCATTTGAAATACTGAATCCTCTAGGACAAGTAAGTAGTTACATACCTCTTGAAAAATGCTTGTCAGTATAATTTCTGCATGATAGTGTGTAATTTATGTTTACATATGAATAAAGGATAAGGAGTTGAAGAGGACAACCAGCATTTGAGCTTTAGGCACTATGCTTAGTGCTTTCCATATTTTCTTATTTAATCCTCAGGTCAACTGTGTGAGCTTATTATAGTAGAAGAAACTGAAGCTCTGAAATGTTAAATAATTTGTCAAGGTTCACATGATTCTAAAGTAGAGCTGCTGCAACTCAAACTCAGATCTGACTCCAAGGCCTTTCTTTTTTCCATCATGCTGTCTAACCTCCAGAAGTCTTACATCACATAATCATACTTAGTCTAGGTATTTTCTTCTACCATTTGTCCTAAATTTGCATCCATGTAAATATAATTCTCTGAAAATGAAAACTCTAAGAGGATGAGAACCAGAACTACGTAGTTCTTTTACTAGTATACACAATGGCAAACATGCTTAATATATTATATATTTTATATAATTATATATATAGCTATATATAAAAATGCTTGGATATAGAAAAAAGTAGTTTCTAATATTTTGATTGATGCCTTTTCAACAGTCTGATAGTCTCTGATTCTTTACATAAGGATGAAATAAGAATGAGAAATGATCAGACTCATGTTGCTATGATTGTACCGTACCGAAGAAGTTATTCCTAGAATGGAATAGTAATATGTTACATAAAGGTCAAAGTATTAAAGAAACACTTAAAAGATTTGAAGGTTTATTTTCTTTAGTAATTTGAGATTATACAGGTTTTTTAGTAGTTACAAACAGGACATTAATAATATGGTTGGGGCCCTGTTCTTCATAATTATGAATTTCTCTAGTAGAACTCAGGGTTCTTTCCCTGAGTATTAATTATAAGATTTAATTTTGTTTCTTTTTTTAAACTTCATATCAGGATATGGTTATACAAGCTCTTCAGAAAACTAATAACAGAAGTATAGAAGCAGCAATTGAATTCATTAGTAAAATGAGTTACCAAGATCCTCGGTGGGAACAGATGGCTACAGCAGCTGCCAGACCTATTAATGCCAGCATGAAACCAGGTGATTAACCAAACTTTTTTCTGGTCTCTTCTTTTACTGTATAGTCTTAAAATACTTAAGTATGTCAGATCTTCCTGAATCATGTCACGGAGAAAAAAGTAAATAAAAATATATAAAATAAAATAAATTATTAAAAAAAAATACTTAAATATGTCAAATCTTTGCTCTTAGAAATTGTTAAAAGCATCCCAGTAAATGAAAGTTGCAAATTAAGATAACATTATAGTCTTATACAAAAATGAATTTGAGGATGGGGCCTTCACATTTAAAAGTTAACGGGTAATTCTGATAAGCAGCAATCTAGGTTGAAAAGTACATGATTGATGATGCTGCAACTGACATATATCCTTTTTTCCCTACAAATGCCATCATTCAAATTATTTTTTCCTTTTTAAATTTTTTTCATATTATGAAAGTCATAGAATCATAGAATATTTTGAAAGCAAATAAGAAGAAAACACCACTGTTAATAACCACAATATTTTAATATGTTTTGTTTCCCAGTTTTTTTTCCTGTGGGAAACCTGAATGGATTTGTATAAGTGTATTTTGAAACTTATTTAAACAAAACACAGGATCATACTAAAACCTATGTTATTTACTTAATACACCCATAACTTTCCTTGTCATTCAATGTTTTACAAAATAATTTTAATAGCCACATTGAAATAATATATTACATGCTGTATTTAACCAGTCTCCCATTTTGGACATTTGCCTTGTTTCCGTTTTTTATTTGCCATCATAGACAGCATCACAGAATTACTCTTACAGCTAAATCTTTGTACATACCTGATGATTTCTTAAAAGTAAGTTTTAGAAGACTTATAAAAATGTAAAGGTTTTTTTGGCCGGGTGCAGTGGCTCACACCTGTAATCCTCGTACTTTTGGAGGCCAAGGTGGAAGGATCACTTGAGGCCAGGAGTTTGACACCAGCCTGAGCAAGAGCAAGACCCCATCTCCACAAAAAATAGAAAAATTAGCTGGCTGTGGTGGCACACAGATGTAGTCCCAGCTACTTAGGAGGCTGAAGCAGGAGGATGGTTTGAGCCCAGGAGTTCGAGGCTGCAGTGAGCTATGATGTTGTACATCACTGTGCGCTAGCTCAGGTGACGGATGGCAACCGTGACTCCAAAAAAAAGAGGAAGGTTTTTCATAGATATTGCTGTACAGAAAGGTAGTACCAATGTATATTCTCCCTATCAGTTTACTATGGGAATACCGTCACTTATAAAGCCTGTTTATCATCATTTTTGTCTATTTAATGGCTGTGGAAATAGTATTTTATTTTACATTCACATTTCTTTAATCACTAGTGAGTTTGAATATTTATTGGTTATTTTTTAATTGCCTTTTTAATTCTTTGTTAATCTTTGTGTTTTTTAGTATTTAACTGATTTGTAGGAGGGCTTTATTCATTCAGTACATTTTTATTGGTCAACCATTGTTTCAGGGTCTTTGCTTGGCATTGGGTAAGTTCCTGACCTTTTGTGGAGCTTACATCCTAGTAAGGGAGATCAAATAATCACAGAAATGTAGAATAACAGCTATGTGAGTTTGAATGAAGAGGGGAGAGTTACATGGTATTGTGGACTTATATAATAAAGGGTTTTTTGTTGTTGTTGTTGTTGTTTTTTACCTAATCAAGAAGATGAGAGAAAACCTTCCTAGAAACTGATAGTAGAGCTGATAACTGAAGAAATACAGGAGTTAATGGGGATGAGTTTAGTGAAGAAGAGTGTCCCTATGTGTGGTTCCTTAGGCAGGTTTTGATGCCACGAAGAAATGAAAGTGGCTGGAGCACTGTAAACAGGATCTGAGATGTGACTGGAGAAGTTCATAGGAGCAGGACTTGTATTAATTTTATCCTTAGAGTAGTGGGAAGTTATGGCAGTGTTTCAAGTAGGGTAGTAACGTGATTAGATTTGTGTTGCAGAAAGGTGGCTGCAGTGGATGAGAATGGTGGTAGAGGAGCAAGGGAGGATATGGGGATAGGCTTGATATAGTAGTAGTTCATGGGAAATGAAGGTAATTTGGGCTGAGGAGATGGTGGTGGAGAAAAGTGAATGAATTAAGAGGAATGGGAACAGTAAAATTGATAAGGACTTCATGAATTGATTACCTATGGGGGATGATGCTGGAGAAAGTTGACTCTTAGGTTTTTGGCTTAGAGAAATAGCTGGTAACACCCTACATTAAGAAAGGGAATATTGCGGGAGAACTGGATTTGCTGGGAAAGATCATAAGTCCAATTTTGGACAAAAGGTTGAGTTAGGTTCATTGAATTATCCAAGTGGAGGGGGGATATTAAGTAGGGAGCTGGAGATGTATGTGTGAGCCATGTGTATGACAGAGGTCACCTAAGGGAGATAACATAGATAAAAATGATAAGATGGCCTGCAACCAAGCCTATTATTTAAAGCTGGTAGCAGAGGATAAACCTGCAAAGGAGATAGGAGAATTAGGTAAAAAGGAAGAAAGAAAACCAACAAGGTTTTCGGTGTCTTAGAAGCCAAGGGAAGAGAATGTTTCAAGAAGGGGAGGGAATGGTTAAAAATGCCAAATAGTACTAAGAAAAGATATTGACCAAGATTAGAACTAGAAAATATCTTGTTGGCTTTAGTGACATGGTTTATTAGTTTGCTAGGGTTGCCAAAACAAAATACTAGAACAGGTTGCTTGAACAACAAAGATTTACTTTCTCACAGTTCTGGAAGATAGAATTCCAAGATTAAGTCACAGGCAGGTCTGGTTTCTTCTGAGGCGTCTTTTGGCTCCTAGATGGCTGCCTTCTGGCTGTGTCCTCACATGGTTGTTCCTTTGCATGTGTACATGTCTGGGCTGTGTCTCAGTCCAAATTTCTTCTTATAGGCACACACATCATATTGCATTAGGGCTCACCCTAATGACCTCATTTAACCTTAATTGCAACATGCAGTCACGTTTTGTGGCACTAGGGGGTTAGAACTTCAGCATAAGGATTTTGATGGGGGACACAATTCAGCATGACAAATGGGGGAACTTTTTTCTATCCTGTCATGGGAGCACAATTCAAGTGAGAGTGAGTTGAGAACTAAATGGAATGTGAAGTAGTAAAGAACATAAGTATAACTTCTTTGAGAAGTTTTTCTGTGAGGAGAAAGTGAGAACATTAGCAAGGGTAGTGATTCTCAAACCACTGTGGTGAAGATCTTTGATTTTTTTAAAAAAAATATCTAATTCATGAATTAATTTTTAAAAATACAGTGAAAATAGATTATTAGAAAATTAAAATTTAAAATGACATACAAAATATAAGTTTACACACTTCATTATTAGATTTAACAAACATAAGATTATTTTGTCAAATTTCTGTAGGTTTCTCAGTTCTCACTCAGCTTCCATACTTATCTCATAGAAGGCCAGTATCACTTTGTGGACCAGCACCAGACCAGATAACACCTTGTAGTAGAGGTCTACATATGAGAGTGGAGGGAGAGTCTTTTTTTTTAAGGAAATAAACATATTCAAAAGATGATTTGAAGACTACAGTTAAGAGGATAAAAATAAATATTCAAGAGAGAAGGTTCCTGAGAAGCCAAGAGAAGATAGGATACAAAGCATATGATGAGGGATTATTAGCCTTAGATAGAAAAAGGAATAACCATTTCCTCTAACAGCAGCAAATGGGCCTAGCTTCCATAGAGGAGATGAGGAAGGGAGTTTCTTACATTGTTTTTTAGAGACAGGGTCTCTGTGGCCCAGGCTTGAGTGCAGTGATGCGATCGTAGCTTACTGCAGCCTCAAACTTCTGGGCTCAAGTGATCTTCCCATCTCAGGCTCTGTTGTAGCTAGGATTATAGGCATGAGCCGTAGCACTCAGCAAGGGAATTACTTTCTGATGTCTTCTGTTTTCTTTGAAGTAGTAAATTTTTTTTTTTTTTTTTTGAGATAGAATCTCAGTCTGTTGCCTTGGCTAGAGTGCTGTGGCATCAGCCTAGCTCACAGCAACCTCAGACTCCTGGGCTCAAGCAATCCTCCTGCCTCAGCCTCCCAAGTAGCTGAGACTACAGGCATGTGCCACCATGCCCAGCTAACTTTTTCTATATATTTTTAGTTGTCCAGCTAATTTCTAATTTTAGTAGAGAGAGGGTTTCGCTCTTGCTGAGGCTAGTCTTGAACTCCTGAGCTCAAACGATCCACCTTGGCCTCCCAGTGTGCTAAGATTACAGGCGTGGACTGGGTTTCTTTTTGTTGTTGGAAAATAGCAAGCTCCCACCTCAGGACCTTTAACTAGCCTTAGCCTCATATGTCATCTCAGAGGAGCCTTTTCTGACCACTGAATCTCATCGCCTTTTATCCTCCTGTTACTCTTTATCTTTTGACACCATTTATGTTTCATTCATCACTCTCTGAAGTTACCCTATTTATTTACTTTCATATTGTCTGACTTCTTCCCCAAGAATGTAGGTCACATGGGGCCAAGGATGTTTAAAAGTTCACCAATGTGCTTGGATTGCTTAGAGCAGTACCTGGCATATAGTGGATGCTCAATAAATATTTAGTGAATGGATAGGAGGAGAGGAGAAAAGGAATATAGAGGGAAGAAAAAAGTCATGGAGCATAGATTTAAATTGGACAAAGTATGTCATAGAGAAAGAGGAGGACTGATGAAATAGTTATTATTCTTAGAGATCTTGATGAGGTTGAAGAACTTTTGCAATAGGAATAAAAGAAAAGGGAGAGGAAGTTGTGGTTTAAGAGTATAAACCTTAAGTTCTGCCCTTCTGAAGGAAGAGCAGATATGGGTGATAATCAAAATTTGAAATATGATCTTCAGAGTGACATTTAAAGAGGAGTGGAAAAGGATAGGTCAAGAAACTGAGAGCTGAGGGCAGTGGATGATTCATGCATGTGAATGTTGAGGTCACACAATGATGGCAGGGCTTAGGGGAGACCAAATGCCAAAGTTGTGGGTAAATGAGAAAGCGCAGGTAGGAGCACGTAGGACTGAGTATGGTCTCCACATAGCATGAGCTTCAAAAAAGCTGGCTATGGCTCGTGCGGTGGCTCACACCTATCATCCTAGCACTCTGGGAGGCCGAGGCGGGCGGATTGCTCGAGGTCAGGAGTTCGAAAGCAGCCTCAGCAAGAGCGAGACCCTGTCTCTACTATAAATAGAAAGAAATTAATTGGCCAACTAATATTATACAACGATTAACCAGGCCGATGGTGGTGCATGCCTGTAGTCCCAGCTACTTGGGAGGCTGAGGCAGTAGGATCGCTTGAACCCAGGAGATTGAGGTTGCTGTGAGCGAGGCTGATGCCACGGCACTCACTCTAGCCTGGGCAACAAAGCGAGACTCTGTCTCAAAAAAAAAAAAAAGCTGGCTAATTTTTGAGAGGACTAGTAAGGACCTGAAAGCATAAATGGTAGAACCCCATCTTTTGGCCCAGTTTATTTTTTAAAGAAAACCTTAATTTCAAAGGGCTGAAAAGGAAGTAATATCAGCAGAAGAAAATCAGCTTTAAGGAGGTGGCAGGAAAGCTTGGAGCTGAGGTTAGTGACATAGGAGCATTTGCTGGTTGTGGAGCAGAGCAGGTCCAGAGAGGGTAGTGGAAAGGTTTGGGAAGTGAGAGAACATGAAGAGCTCTAGGAGAGGCACAGCACAGCAGAGATGGCCTTATACTCTAAAAGCAGGGTGAATGACATGGTGTGTTTTAGCCTTAGCTGACTCATGAGACTGAGTCTGGTGGCCAGAGGACTTCTATGGCTTGCCCAGAATGATGATTTTCCCCGAAGTCACAGACCCTAAATACTGCTCAACCTAGAAGAAAGGGAGTGTTAAACTGTACCTTCTGAACATTTCTCAATTTTTTCTCATATGTGTTATTAAATATATTTTTGCCCAGGATGATGTTTCAAATTTATGAATGTTTCTTATTTGTTTTTTTTTTAATAGTGATAAATGTTTTATGTATTTAGATCTGCACCTTTGTCATCTTGGGAAGGCATTCTCTTTTCTTTTTCTAATTTTTAAAAAATATTTTATTATTAATATTATTATTTTTTAAAAGATTGGCTAGTTCTGTAGAATGGGAAGACATTCTCAAGAGGTACCACAGTATTACTCAGTGTTCACTTTTTTTTTTTTTTTTTTTTGAGACAGAGTCTCGCTTTGTTGCACAGGCTAGAGTGAGTGCCATGGCGTCAGCCTAGCTCACAGCAACCTCAAACTCCTGGGCTCAAGCAATCCTACTGCCTCAGCCTCCCGAGTAGCTGGGACTACAGGCATGTGCCACCACGCCCGGCTAATTTTTTTATATATATATATTAGTTGGCCAATTAATTTCTTTCTATTTATAGTAGAGACGGGGTCTTGCTCTTGCTCAGGCTGGTTTTGAACTCCTGACCTCGAGCAATCCGCCCGCCTCGGCCTCCCAAAGTGCTAGGATTACAGGCTTGAGCCACCGCGCCCGGCCAGTGTTCACTTTTTATTTCTAGTGCTTATATGGTTTCATCTTTAATGTTGAGAACTTTAATCCTTCTGGAATGTATATTTATATATATTATCTTTTTATACCAGTGTACTTTATATATTTTTTAAATGTATCCTATATTTTTTCTAACTGGCGAGACTATTTTAAATACTTCATTTTTTTGTATTGTATATTTTCTTGCTTGTTTCATTTATTTGGAAATTCCATTAAAGACAGACACTATAAAATCCTTTTTTTCACTTATGATTTTGACTCAAAGCTGTAAAATCTATACCTTATTTATCATTCATCTAATTATCACCTACTGTCTTTTACTATTTTAAAAGCCATATTAAAATGTATTGAAAATTAGTAGTTGTATCTGTAAAAATTATCAATGGACATGCCCTTTGGCTCAATAATGCCGTCTTTAATCATCTACAGATACACGTGCATATATATGAAATTATATTTCCATTTATAAATATATACATTATATTATGCATATATATAAATTATATCTGCATTTTTTTGTGTATAAAGCAGAAGACTGGAAATACCCCAAATGTCTATCAGTAGAGGAACTTATTAAATAAATCAGGGTACATCCATACAGTGAAAAAACCATGATAACATTTTTTTTAAATGAGGAAACACTTTTTTAAAAAGCGATATGGAATCTTCATTTTTTTAAATGAAAACAAGAAGGCACAATAGTATATATAAGAAATATACTATTGTCTTGTATATCCCTAAATTAAGATGGTATTGGTTGGCTTCAAAGAAGGAAACCATAAGCTGTGGTCCCTAACCCTTGGGCTGCATGCGGCCCATTACCAGTCCATGGCCTGTTAGGAAATAGCTGTGCATCTCCACCTGAGCTCTGCACCACCACACAACCCCTTACCCATGACACCCACACCCCCCATCCCTAGTCCATGGAAAAACTGTCTTCCATGAAACTGGCCGTTGGTGCCAAAAAGGTTGGAGACCACAGGGCTAAGGGACAGAGGTGGGTATCATTTTGTACTTTGTGAATTTTGAGCCATGAGTATATTACCTAGTCAAAAATAAATAAAATTTTAGGGCCGGGTGTGGTGGCTCACGCCTGTAATCCTAGCACTCTGGGAGGCCGAGGCAGGCGGATTGCTTGAGGTTAGGAGTTCGAAACCAGCCGGAGCAAGAGGGAGACCCTGTCTCTACTATAAATAGAAATAAATTAATTGGCCAACTAGTATATATAGAAAAAATGAGCCGGGCATGGTGGTGCATGCCTGTAGTCCCAGCTACTCGGGAGGCTGAGGCAGGAGGATCGCTTGAGCCCAGGAGTTTGAGGTTGCTGTGAGCGAGGCTGACGCCACGGCAAAAACTCTAGCCTGAGCAACAAAGTGAGACTGTCTCAAAAAAAAAAAAAATTAAGATAAATAAATAAATAAATAAAATTTAAAAAGGTAAAATGAAACTACTTGCTAAAATTTTATTTGTAGGATGTTTTTTGCTAAATTGAACTAATTAACATATGCATCAACTCATCATTTTTTTGTGGTGAGAACACTGAAAATCTCAGCAGTTTTCAAGAATATAATACATTAACTATAGTCACCATTTTTTATAATAGATCTCTTGAACTTACTCTTATTTTTATAATTCTTGAAAGAGAATTGAACATCATTTAGTGTCAATTGCAAGCTAAATTTTTAAAAAATAAGAGATTGAAAACATGTTTGGTTTTCTTTTGTCTTTTATGATCATAGGGAGTGTGCAACAATCAGTTAACCGCAAACAAAGCTGGAAAGGTTCTAAAGAATCCTTAGTTCCTCAGAGACATGGCCCACCACTAGGAGAAAGTGTGGCCTATCATTCCGAAAGTCCCAACTCGCAGACAGATGTGGGAAGACCTTTGTCTGGATCTGGTATAACAGCATTTGCTCAAGCTCACCCTAGCAACGGACAAAGAGTAAACCCACCACCACCACCTCAAGTAAGGAGTGTCACTCCTCCGCCACCTCCAAGAGGCCAAACTCCCCCTCCAAGAGGTACAACTCCACCTCCCCCCTCATGGGAGCCAAACTCTCAAACAAAGCGCTATTCCGGGAACATGGAATATGTAATCTCCCGAATCTCCCCTGTTCCACCTGGGGCATGGCAGGAGGGCTATCCTCCACCACCTCTTAACACTTCCCCCATGAATCCCCCTAATCAGGGACAGAGAGGCATAAGTTCTGTTCCTGTTGGCAGACAACCAATCATCATGCAGAGTTCTAGCAAGTTTAACTTTCCACCAGGGAGACCTGGAATTCAGAATGGTAGTGGTCAGACTGAGTTTATGATACACCAAAATGTTGTTCCTGCTGGCACTGTGAATCGCCAGCCACCCCCTCCATATCCTCTGACCCCAACTAATGGACAAAGCCCTTCTGCTCTACAAACAGGGGGATCTGCTGCTCCTTCATCATATACAAATGGAAATATTCCTCAGTCTATGATGGTGCCAAACAGAAATAGTCATAACATGGAACTATATAACATTAATGTACCTGGACTGCAAACAAATTGGCCTCAGTCATCTTCTGCTCCAGCCCAGTCATCCCCGAGTGGTGGGCATGAAATCCCTACATGGCAACCTAACATACCAGTGAGGTCAAATTCTTTTAATAACCCATTAGGAAATAGAGCAAGTCACTCTGCTAATTCTCAGCCCTCAGCTACAACAGTCACTGCAATTACACCAGCTCCTATTCAACAGCCTGTGAAAAGCATGCGTGTATTAAAACCAGAGCTGCAGACTGCTTTAGCACCTACACACCCTTCTTGGATACCACAACCAACTCAAACTGTTCAACCCAGTCCTTTTTCTGAGGGTACCACTTCAAATATGACTGTTATGCCACCTGTTGCTGAAGCTCCAAACTATCAAGGTCCACCACCACCTTATCCAAAACACCTGCTACACCAAAATTCATCTGTTCCTCCATATGAATCAATCAATAAATCTAGCAAAGAGGATCAGCCTAGCTTGCCCAAGGAAGATGAAGGTGAAAAGAGTTATGAAAATGTTGATAGTGGGGACAAAGAAAAGAAACAGATTACAACTTCACCTATTACCGTTAGGAAAAACAAGAAAGATGAAGATCGAAGAGAATCTCGTATTCAAAGTTATTCTCCTCAGGCATTTAAATTCTTTATGGAGCAACATGTAGAAAATGTACTCAAATCTCATCAACAACGTCTACATCGTAAAAAACAGTTAGAGAATGAAATGATGCGGGTAAAACCTTTTAAAATGTCCATTTTTATACATGTTATCTGTTTGCTTTATGTTTATTTTAAAATATTGTGTTCCAGTATTTTTTATAGCTAAATATATTATCAATTACAGAATTTAAAAGTGAGTAAAAATACTAAATACTGTAGTATTTCAAGATTTACTAGAATTCCATATAATAAAGTTCTTATCTAAATTAAGAAAAATACAATTTAGAGTATACAGTTTACATATACATAATCTCTTTATATGGAAATTGGAGCAAGGGTTGTTTCCTAGGTTTTACAATTAACTTACAACATTTAAGAATAAGGTAGGAATATCTGGGTCCCATCTCTTGATAAATATATGAAACATTTCTTTTTATTTATAAGTTCTTGTGTTTATAGCTTTATTCATCACATAGGTCTTATTAGAAAGTGTTAGAGTTCTCCCTTTAGTTATTTCTCCCTTCTAATTTCATTTTTATAATGCACTGGAGAAATGTGCTGAAATTATTAAGTCAAAGTGTATTAAAAAGGAGATCAAAATATTAATAAGTAAACACTCACTTGAATCTGTGTTGTGTTTACAGATAGATCTCTTCACTAGATATTACGGGAACACTATCATCATCATCATTATTTTTATCATATACTTAGAATTCAAAGATTTGACTCCTAATCTTACTTCTGTCACTCAGAATCTAAGAGGCTTAAATTTGTGATTAAACTTCTTTACCTAATTGAGAGAACCATTCTTTTAAAATGATTTTTCCAAATCTGATTTTATAATATTATTCTTACTATAAATTGAGTTTTCTTAGATGAGAAATGTCGTGATAATCTCTATGACTTATCCATATTTTAGTTCTTAGGATTTCTTACTAAAGTCTATCTGTATGTATTTTCTTAGTTTATTTTTCCTTTTTCCTCTTCACTTTCACTAATAGCTGATTTAAACTTTTATGGTGTTGGAAGCTTTGCTGACTTCTGTAGCCTCCATTACTGTGTAGGCAAGTAAGATTTTAAGAGAAACAGTTCTAAGTTTGGCATGCCACCCTTCTTAAAAGATTTTGCATGTAAATGTGCATCCTAACAGAAGCATGAGGTTGCTATATTTTAGTCTTGCATTTCTAGAATTAGACCTTTTTCAAGGGAATTCCTTTCTATTTAAACCCTCTAATTCTTTAATTAGCCAAAACAAACTGTCCCTCCCTTCTAAAAACAGGAATTCCATATCTACTTAGAAGTTGGTTTTTGTTTTTATCTGTTTTTGATATCTTTATAAGTTATACTATTATTTAAAATATTCCAGGCCGGGCGCGGTGGCTCACGCCTATAATTCTAGCACTGGGAGGCCGAGGCTCGCAGATGCTCAAGGTCAGGAGTTCGAAACCAACCTGAGCAAGAGCAAGACCCTGTCTCTACAAAAAATAGAAAAGAAATTAATTGGCCAACTAAAAATATATAGAAAAAATCAGCCAGGCGTGATGGTGTGTGCCTATAGTCCCAGCTACTCAGGAGGCTGGGATAGTAGGATCGCTTGAGCCAAGGAGTTTGAGGTTGCTGTGAGATAGGCTGAGGCCACGGCACTCTGGCTCTGGGCAACATAGTGAGACTCTGTCTCAAAAAAAATAATAAAACATAATAAAACATTCCAAATAATGTTTCCAATAAAACATTCCAAAATACCTAAAAGATACTTTGTAACCAAGCATGTTGTTCCTTTTAAATAAAGTAGGAGAAATCCTTTGCATTTTGTGTTAGTGTTTGGCTGTGAGTCCCACCTTTACTCAGATGCCCTGAGAAAGACAAAAGGAAAGACTATTAATGACTATTATAGTAAGAAAAGTCTTACTATTATAGTAAGAAAAGTCTCCATTTATTGAGAATGGAGAAAAGGGTTAGTGGGTTAGAGAAGGCATTTTATTATTCTTAATACATCAGTTTTTTAGAATAAGTAAGCCTGGAGTGGAAGTGGGAACAATATTTTATGCCTAGGCATTCCACAAAGAGAAGCATATGATGAAGGCAATTAAATCATATAATTTGTGGCGAATATGCATGGAGAGATAGATGAAGATGCATGTTAACAGATGCTTATACATTGGGAACATTTTTGTGAGTGAATTAGAGAAGAGTAGAAAGCTATTGGTGTCCTCTTCTTGCTCTCCACAGCTAAATTTGTATATATACTCACCTTGTATATCCTATTAACTACCTCTTAAGCTGCACTTTTGATCTTTAATTTTCTCTGAAATGTATTCTAGATTTCTAACATGCTTTATTAAAAATTTTATGCATTTAACCTTTAAACATATGCCTGAATTTTTTCTCTAAGCTATTTCTTAATATTCAATATTGAAGAAGATAATTCTTCATTTAACATCTAGTTTATTTGCCTAGGTTGGATTATCTCAAGATGCCCAGGATCAAATGAGAAAGATGCTTTGCCAGAAAGAGTCTAATTACATCCGTCTTAAAAGGGCTAAAATGGACAAGTCTATGTTTGTAAAGATAAAGACACTAGGAATAGGAGCATTTGGTGAAGTCTGTCTAGCAAGAAAAGTAGATACCAAGGCTTTGTATGCAACAAAAACTCTTCGAAAGAAAGATGTTCTGCTTCGCAATCAAGTCGCTCATGTTAAAGCTGAAAGAGATATCCTGGCTGAAGCTGACAATGAATGGGTAGTTCGTCTATATTATTCATTCCAAGATAAGGACAATTTGTACTTTGTAATGGATTACATTCCCGGGGGTGATATGATGAGCCTATTGATTAGAATGGGCATCTTTCCAGAAAATCTGGCACGATTCTACATAGCAGAACTTACCTGTGCAGTTGAAAGTGTTCATAAAATGGGTTTTATTCATAGAGATATTAAACCTGATAACATTTTGATTGATCGTGATGGTCATATTAAATTGACTGACTTCGGCCTCTGCACTGGCTTCAGATGGACACATGATTCTAAATACTATCAAAGTGGTAAGTAAACTCATAAAATTTAGTTTGTTCATAATAATGTAATTTAGTAATGCAATAAAACATGAGATGGGGCCGGGCGTGGTAGCTCACGCCTGTAATCCTAGCACTCTGGGAGGCCAAGACGGGCGCTCAAGGACAGGAGTTTGAAACCAGCCTGAGCAAGAGTGAGACCCCGTCTCTACTATAAATAGAAAGAAATTAATTGGCCAACTAATATATATAGGAAAAAAATTAGCCGGGCATGGTGGCACATGCCTGTAGTCCCAGCTACTTGGGAGGCTGAGGCAGTAGGATCACTTGAGCCCAGGAGTTTGAGGTTGCTGTGAGCTAGGCTGATGCTATGGCACCCACTCTAGCCTGGGCAACAAAGTGAGACTCTATCTCAAAAACAAAACAAAACAAAACAAAACATGAGATGGATCATCACTGGATGGGAGCCAGAAGGTCTTGACTATGTTGCGTAAACTTCGTTGAATCCTTTAGGTATTTAGACTTATAAAATGAAAGAAAATGTTAGATTTGATTATTTCTAAATATCTTTAATATTTTTGAGTGAAACCCTTTACCTTTGAAATATGTCCATGTTTTAAAAATAATTTTTAAATGAAGCCCCATATCCACCATTCAGTTTCAGAACTAGATTTTCAGTACTTTAGAAGCCCCAAAACAATCACTCCCTTTCTTTCCTCTACAGAGATAACCATTATTTCAGAACTTTGTAATCAGTATTTTACTTTTCTCTGTACTTTTACCACATATGTATATATCCCTGAACAATACATTATTTCATTTTGCCTACTCTTGAACCTATATTTAAATGTAATCATTCTATATGTATTCTTCTGTGTTGACTTCCTTTATATGTTTGAGGTTCCTCCATGTTATCACATGTAATATTTTCACTGCTATTTAGGATTCCGTTGTGTGACTATTACACAACTTACTTAACCCTAAACACTTTATATACATGACTCCATGTAATCCTCACAATGACATTGTGAGGCAGGATGAAGAAAGTGAGGCCTAGTTAAATGAAGTAACTTGCCCAAGGTCAGACAGAAATTAAGTGTAAGGGCTAGGCTTTGAACCCGTTTGTCTGATTACAGGGCCCATGTTATTTCTACTACACCACACTGCCTCACCAAGATTCCTTCAAGCGCTATTGGAAGTGTAAGTTGATCTAACATTTGTTGAATACTTACTATGTACTAGGTGCTTTACATACAGTATATTCTAATTTAATGCTCATAACAGTTCTCTGAGGTAAGTATTATTAGCCTCCTGTGCTTCTGTGAACACAGTAGATTGACATTAAATGGATAGAATTGAGACATTTGAACCAACTTTAATGTTTGACATAATAGAATTTAGTGTCTCCCCAGATTCACCTGAATTATTGCTTGGGGCTTTTCTTAAATATATGATCCCTAGGCTCTATTCCAGTCTTTTGATTAAAAATCTTCATTGGAGGATAGAAATCATATTTTAATCAAACATCCCATATGATTGTTACAGTTAGGTTAATTTCAGACACATTTTTCTAGGTGACCTCATCCTATTATGGCTTTAAATACCATCTATATGTCAGCGACTTCCAAATCTCTCTCTCTAGAAATGGTTTCCCTGAAATTTCTATATCAAATTGCTTCCTGAATATCGTCCCATGGATTTCAAATAGGCCTTTCAGGCTTACTATTGCCAATAAAGAGCTCTTTATTACCACTCCCATGTCTGCTCCCTTCCAGCGTCCCTCATCTTAGTACCTCGTGCTACCACCACCCACCTAGTTATTCTGATTCTTTTTTTCCCATGCCCTCATGTCTAATTTATCAGTAAGTCCTGTTTACTCCAGATCTAAAATATATCCTGAATCTATTCACTTCTCTCCAGCTCTAGTGACTCCTAGTCCCAGATTACCTATAATGGACTCTTAACTGCTCTCTTTTTTGACTCTTCTCTTCCCTATAATCTGTTCTCTTTACACCAACCAGAGTTTTCTTTTGATTGTAAGAATAAATCAGATCTTGTCATCCTCTTGCTTCAAACACTCCAGTATCATTTCACTATACTTGGAGTAAAAGGCAAACCACTTCTGTTGTTTGCAAAACCTAGGTGCAATGGCTCCTGCTCCATTTCCTACCATTCTCCCCTTTATCAGCTGCACTGGTCCTCACTCTGTTGATGTTGTTTCTGTATGGAATGCCTTGCCCTGATTTTCAAATGGTTGAGTCCCTCTTGATTGTTTACATCTTAGCAGATGTCACCTTCTCAGTCTCCACTAGCTATTCAGTGTAATGTAGCTGTCCAGTCACATTTGTCACATCGAACTGTGTTGATTCTCTGTGTAGGATACATTGCTATGTGTCTTATATATGTAGTTGTGATTCTTTCCGTACTGCTTGAGAAAAGAACTTCGTCTGTCTTATATGTCACTATTATTTATTGAAGAAATGAAACACTCATCTAATTTATTTGAAAATTTGTCTAGAGTAGTAACGGGGAATGGTCTGAATAACAAATTCTTAATCTACTTATGACTTATATTGTTATCATTTAACATTGAATAAATTACTGAATCTTAGGCTAATTTTATTTAGTGTAAAACTTACCTATTGGTATCTCAGAAAGCAGGTGACTTGGCATACATTGTATCTTAGTTTGTTCCACAACTAGGGAGAATGTTGTTAATTCTAAACCATGATGTCAAAACATAAAACAGACTAGGTTTACTCTTGTCCTTGTTGCTTTTAATTATTTGTTTATTTTTACTGTACAGGTGACCATCCACGGCAAGATAGCATGGATTTCAGTAATGAATGGGGTGATCCCTCAAACTGTCGATGTGGAGATAGACTGAAGCCACTAGAGCGGAGAGCTGCGCGCCAGCACCAGCGATGTCTAGCACATTCTTTGGTTGGGACTCCCAATTATATTGCACCTGAAGTGTTGCTACGAACAGGTAAAGCATTTGTCTCATAAATAATAGGCCTTTAGGCTGGGCGCAGTGGCTCACGCCTGTAATCCTAGCACTCTGAGAGGCCGAGGCGGGCGGATTGCTTGAGGTCAGGAGTTTGAAACCAGCCTGAGCAAGAGCGAGACCCCGTCTCTACTATAAATAGAAAGAAATTAATTGGCCAAATAATATATATAGAAAAAATTAGCCGGGCATGGTGGCACATGCCTGTAGTCCCAGCTACTCGGGAGGCTGAGGCAAAAGGATTGCTTGAGCCCAGGAGATTGAGGTTGCTGTGAGCTAGGCTGACGCCACGGCACTCACTCTAGCCTGGGCAACAAAGTGAGACTCTGTCTCAAAAAAAAAAACAAAAAACAAACAAACAATAAAAAAAAATAATAGGCCTTTAGACCAGCCCATACTTATACTAGAGTATACCTTATTTTTTAGGTTTATAATAAATAAAGTATTAATTTTATAGTATAAATTGGAAATTTAATGTTAATTTTGATTGTATTCTCAGTACTTTTTAAGTGCTTATGAATAACTGTAACTTTGATATCTTATTTTAGGATACACACAGTTATGTGATTGGTGGAGTGTTGGTGTTATTCTTTTTGAAATGTTGGTGGGACAGCCTCCTTTCTTGGCACAAACACCATTAGAAACACAGATGAAGGTAAGATATAGAATCTGTATCAAAGGAATTGTCACAAAGTCCCTGCACCATAGTACTTCATTTATTGGTACTTCATTCACTTAGAGCATCTTAATCTAAAGAATGAACTTGTAAATGAACACACTAAAATTGAATGTATAAATTCTAATCTCCATTGGCCTACTGTCATCATATGCTTCCTCACTCACACACTGTACTCACATTTATTCTCATAAAGATCTTTAGTCCCTTTTGAAGATTTATTCCAATTTACTCCTTGTCAGTCACTATCTTCTGGCTTTGCGCATTCTAGCCTGAAACTACAAATAAATGTCTGTATCTCCATTTGAAAATGCCTCTGGCTCTTAAATGAGAAGCCTCCATAATTTTGACCATACACTGTCCCATTTAAAACCCTTTAGTGACTCCTTTGTGAGTTAAAGTCCAAATTTGCCCTTTGTTCCTTTGTTCATACCATTTCCTCTCTCTGGAATGTCTTACTTCCTTCTGTCCTATCTTCTACAACCATCCCTCCTTTCTGATTAACTCTTTTTATTTTTTGAGACAGAGTCTTGCTCTGTTGCCCAGGCTAGAGTGCAGTGGCATCAGTCTAGCTCACAGCAACCTAAAACTCCTGGGCTCAAGCAATCCATCTGCTTCAGCCTCCCGAGTAGCTGGGACTACATACCTGGTTAATTTTTTCTATATATTTTTTTGTTGGCCAGCTAATTTCTTTCTATTTTTAGTAGAGATGGGATCTTGCTCTTGCTCAGGCTGATCTCCAACTCCTGAGCTCAAATCATCCTCCCGCCTCAGCCTCCCAGAGTGTTAGGATTACAGGCGTGAGCCACTGTGCCCGGCCTCTGATTGACTCTCGATTATTTCTGATTCTTGATTCTTAATTAACTCTTGATTCTTCTTAATTATTCCTTGAGAGTATACTGAGATATCTCTTCTTTGATTTCCTCCTCCCCTCAAGCTATAACTTTGTCATTGCATTTAATATATTTTAAAACTTCTAGAATTTCTTGTAGTACAGGTCTCCTGGTAATATATTCTCTCAGGAATATCTGAAAGTATCCTTATTTTGCCTTCATTTTAATATGTATATTTGTACATAGATATACACACATACACACACATTTATGTAAGTATATATGCATATCTGTGTGTGTGAGAGAGAAAGAAATTGTATGCTTTCTCCTTAAGGTTGAAAACAAGGCACGGATGTCCACTTTTACCAATCTTATGTTCTTAGAAGTCTTAGTCAGTGCAGTATAGCAATGGAAAGAAATAAAAGGCAAGACTGGAAGGGAAGAAAGAAAAACTTCCCCTGTTCACACATGACATAATTTTCTATATAGAAAATCTCAGGTAATCTACAAAAAACTTACAGGACTAATAAGTAAGTTTAGGAAGGTTGTAGTTTACAAGGATAACACATAAAAATAAATTGTATTTCTATATTCAAACAACGAACAACTGGAAGCTGAAATTTAAAAACAATAACATTTCAATAGCTTCCCCCAAATGAAATACTTAGGTATAACTGTAACAACATGAACAAGCTCTGTATGCTGGCAACTGCAAAATACTGCTAAAAGAAATGAAAGAGCTAAATAAAGGCCGGGCGTGGTGGCTCACGCCTGTAATCCTAGCACTTTGGGAGGCCGAGGAGGGCAGATTGCTGAAGGTCAGGAGTTCAAAACCAGCCTGAGCGAGACCCCGTCTCTACCAAAAATAGAAATAAATTAATTGACCAACTAAAAATATATATACAAAAAATTAGCTGGGCGTAGTGGCGCATGCCTGTAGTCCCAGCTACTCGGGAGGCTGAGGCAGTAGGATCGCTGAGCCCTGGAGATTGAGGTTGCTGTGAGCCAGGCTGACGCCATGGCACTCACTCTAGCCTGAGCAACAAAGTGAGACTCTGTCTCCAAAAAAAAAAAAAAAAAAGAAAAGAAATGAAAGAGCTAAATAAGTGAAGACACACACCATGTTCATTGATTGGAAGACTCAACATAGTCAAGCTATCAATTCTCCCCATATTTATACATTTAACTCAATGCCAATCAAAATCCCAGAAAGATATTTTATAGATATGGATGAGCCAATTCTAAAATTTATATGGATGGATACTAGAAGTAGAATAGCAAAAATAATTCTTAAAAAGAACAAATTTTAAGGAATCAACTGCCTGATTTTAAGATTTACTGTAAACCTATAGTAATTCAGACAGTGTGGTATTGGCAAAAGGACACAGATATAGATCAATGGAACAGAATAAAGAATGTAGACATAGGACCACACCAACATGGCCGTTTGATCTTTGACAGAGGTACAAATGGGCTCGGCATAGTGGCTCACACCTATAATCCTAGCACTTAGGGAGGCTGAGGTAGTAGGATCACTTGTGGCCAGTTTGAGACCAGCCTGAACAACATAGCAAGACCTGGTCTCTACAGAAAAATGTAATAATTAGCCAGGCATTGCGGGGCACACCTGTAGTCCCAGTTACTCAGGAGGCTGAGGGAAGATGATTGCTTGAGCCCAGGAGTTTGAGGTTGCAGTGAGCTACGATGACATAATTGTAGTCTAGTACAGGCAACAGAGCAATACCTTGTCTCAAAAGTAAAACAAAAACAAAAAGGTGTAGATGGAAAAGGACAGTTTTTCAGCAAATGGTATTGGAAAAATTGGTTAGCCATATACAAAAAAACCTGAATCTCAACTGACCTCACACCTTATACAAAGACTAACTCAAAATGGATCATACATACAGAGATAAAGCATAAAGCTATAATACTTTCCAAAGAAAACATAGAAGAAAAATCTTTGTGGGCTAGGGTTAGGTGAAGAGTACATATACTCTGGGAGGACAAGGTAGGAGGATTGCTGGAGGTCAGAAATTCAAGACAAGCCTGAAAAAGAGCGAGAAAAATAGAAAAAATTAGCCCACGCCTGCATTCCCAGTTACCTGGGAGGCTGAGGCAGGTAGATCACTTTAGCCCAGGAGTTTGAGGTTGCAGTGAACTGTACCGGGGGTGACACAGTGAGACTTTGCACTCTACCTGGGGTGACAGAGTGAGACTGTCTCAAAAAAAAAAAAAAAATTATGATCCATAAAAGAGAAAGTTGATCAGAATTAAAACTTTCACACTACCAAATATGCAGTCAAGAGAATGAAAAGACAAGGTACAGACTGGGAGAAAATATTTGCAAATCACATATCCAAAACAAAAAGCTTTTATCTACAATATATAAAGAACCCTCAAAACTCAATGGTAAGAAAATAGACAACCCAAGCCAGTGTCTTGACAGATTTCCTTAAATGTCTGCGTCAAAAAAAAGAAAAGTGAGGCCAGGTGTGATGGCTCATGCCTGTAATCCTAGCAGTTTGGAAGGTTGAGGCAGGAAGATTGCCTGAGATCAGGAGTTTGAGACCAGCCTGAGCAACATAGTGAGACCCCATCTCTACAAAAATAGAAAAATTAGCTGGGCATGGTAGCCATGCCTGTAGTCTCAGCTACTCTAGAGGCTGAGGCAGGAGGATCACTGGAGCCCAAGAGTTTAAGATTACAGTGAGCTATAATGATGCCCCTGCACTCTTGCCTGGGAAATAGAGGGAGACCCTATCTCAAAAAAAAAAAAAAAAAGAAAAAAAGAAAAGTGTGTCTGTCTCTTTTAAATCTTCCAAAGGGATATGAAATAAAGGCAGTCATCTGGGATGGTCCTTAGGGGAATCACCAAGACCAACCAAAGCGCACAGCCTCAAAGTTTTGGAGGAAGAGGTTCTTATTGCCCGTCCTGGCACTAAACAGCTTCTCCAGGAAGGCAGGCTTTGTTCTCCATGACCACAGTGGGCCTATGGAATGGTAGATGGTAGTGGGTTCACACATGCTGTTGTCTTACCAAATTCTAACAGCCTCCCTTCATGAAGCACCCCCCTGGTTGCTGTTAAGGGTCTGGTTGGGTTCTAGAGTTCCAAAATAGTTTATTCTGATGATGTTTTTCCAGTTTAATAACTGTTTTTATGGCAGACCTTAGACACAGGGCTTTTTTCTGTGACATCTCCCAATACTGTGTTTTCCTTTTTTTTTTTCCTTTCTCACTTTAAATCAAAATCTATATACTGTGTTTTTGAAATTTAATTTTATTTATTTGATTATTATTATTTTAGAGACAGGGATCTTACAATATTGCCTGGGCTGGCCTCAAACTTCTGGGCTGAAGAGATCCTCCTGCTTCAGCCTCCTGAGTAGCTAGAACTATAGGGATGGGCCACTGCACCTGGCTTCTACTGTGTTTTTGACCCTTATCTCTTTGTATAGTCTTTTTTTTTTTTTGAGACAGAGTCTCGCTTTGTTTCCCAGGCTAGAGTGAGTGCCGTGGTGTCAGCCTAGCTCACAGCAACCTCAAACTCCTGGGCTCAAGCGATCCTTCTGCCTCAGCCTCCCGAGTAGCTGGGACTACAGGCATGTGCCACCATGCCCGGCTAATTTTTTCTATATATATTATTTGGCCAGTTGATTTCTTTCTATTTTATAGTAGAGACGGTGTCTCGCTGTTGCTCAGGCTGGTTTCGAACTCCTGACCTCGAGCAATCCGCCCGCCTCGGCCTCCCAGAGTGCTAGGATTTCTTTGTATAGTCTTGTTTGTAGTTGCTCTAGTAACTACAAAATACATACTGAGTTTTCATTGTCTGCTCAGACTTGATTTTTTACCACTTCATGTTCTACATAGAATCTTACTACCATGTCGGTCCCTTTGTTCTCTACTCTTTATGTTGTTGTTATTTTATATATTACATCTACATATGTTTAAAACCTCCTCCAACAATGTAATAGCTTGTGCTTTCAACCATTAAATTACTCTAAAGAACTCGATGGGAAGAATAGTCATTATATTTTCCTGTGTATTTAGTATTTTCTTTGCTTCTCCTGTATTCCTGATGTTTTAAGATTCCTTCTATATTATATATCTATATATATATATTATATATCTTCAGATGTAAGAACTTACATCTGAAGAACTTTCTTAAGTAAATATTTTAGAGCAGTTTTGTTGGCAACAGATTCTATTAATTTTTCTTCATTTGAGAATGTCTTTATTTCACCTTCCTTAGGATATTACCACTTGGTATACAATTCCACGTTTCAGTTCTTGCAGCACTTTAAAATGTCCACTTCCTTCTGTCCTCCGTAATTTGATGAAACATCTGCAGTCATTCAGATCCCTCAAGTGATGCGTCATTTTTTTCTGGCTGCTTTCAATAATTTTTCTTTGTCTTTAGTTTTCAGTATTGTAATTATGATATGTCTGGGCATAGATTTGTTAGGGTTTATGCTATTTGGTTTTCACTGAGCATCTTGAATGCTGAGCATCTTGTACATTTATGTCTCTCATCAGATTTGAGGAGTATTCAACCATCACATCTTCAAATATTTTTCTGTACCACACATTTTTTCCTCTTGTGATTTTAATCACAAGAATGTTAGGCCTTTAGGTATAATCCTGTAGATTCCAGAGGTTCTGCTCATATCTTAAATCTTTATTCTCTCTGCTATTCAGATTACATAATTTCTATCAACCTGTCTTCAAGTTCACTGACTCTTTCCTCTGGTATCTCCATTCCACTATTGAGCCCATCCACTAAATTTTTTATTTTGGTAATTTTTCAGTTCTAAAATCTTCAGTTTCTTTCCTGAGACTTTTTCATTTCATGAGTGTTCACCCTTATTTGAAACATTTTTGTACAATGGCTACTCTAAAGTCTTTGTCAGATAATTCTAATATCTGTGTCCTCTCAATACTAACTTTCTTTTTCTATGACTTAAATTTTCCTGGTTCTCTGTGTGCCAAGCAATTTTGGATTATATCCTGCATATTTTGAATGTTATGAGACTCTGAGTCTTGTTTGAATCTTATGGAGAATGTTGACATTGTTTTGACAGGCATTAAACCTGGTTGGATTCAGGCCACAAGTTCCAACCAGCCTTTTGTGTTTTGTGATTTCAATGTCAGTTTTATTTTCAAAGCCTTTTCAATGCTAGGTAGATTTCTCCCTAGGCTGTGGTCTGTTCCTTTGTTCAATTCTCAAAGTCTTCAGTTATGCTCTTTAGGATTAGATCCATATGGGTACAGTTTGGAGGGTGAGCCCACTAGTTCATAAATAACATTATGGGGTCAGTTTCCCAAGCTCCTCCTTGTCTAGGATGACCCTTATACTTTCTAGTTCCCTAAGGCTCCCTTTTTCAGTTCTCTGACCAGAAAATAAGGATTTATTTATCTCACTTCACCACACATCTTGTAACTGAGCCTGCATCCAGGACAAGGTGGCAAGAGGACAGAGAAAACAAGCAACAAAGCTTGGGGCTTTATTTCCCTGCCTCCAAGAGTTCAGGGGAAGAGACTAGGTAGGCTGGCTTTACTTTACTTATTCATTCCATTTTATTTAAAAACAGAACAAAGATTTATTAAACATCTAGTAATTTTGTGCCAGGCAGTTTGCCAAGCATTGGGAAGTACGAAGACAATTAAAACATGGTCCCTTGCCTTAATAGAATTTCGCACCCCCAGCCAGGCATGTGGCTCATGCCTATAACCCTAGTGCTTGGGAGGCTGAGGCGGGAGGATCACTTGAGGTCAGGAGTTCGAGACCAGCCTGAGTAAGAGCGAGACCCCCGTCTCTACTAAAAATAGAAAGACTTAGCTGGGCATGGTGGTACTTGCCTGTAGTCCCAGCTACTCGGGAGGCTGAGGCAGGAGGATCACTTCAGCCCAGGAGTTTGAGGTGGTTGAACTGGGCTGACGCCATGGCACTCTAGCCCTATCAACAGAGTGAGACTCTGTCTCAAAAAAAAACCCAAAAGAATTTTATATCCCAGCAGAAGGACTCAGACATATATATAGGTACCACAAAGTATTAGAAATACTATGATTGAAATATATGGTGCAGTGGAGGCAGAGTGGAAGGTAGTTGAAGTGGTGATTTCTACTAGAGGTAGAAGACACTGCCAAGGGAGACAAAAACTTACAGTAAGTCTTGTAGTGTTAGTATAAGTTGCCTGGAGAGGAGAGGATAGGAGAAAAGTTATTTTCCACCAGCAGTGATTAATTATTAAAAGTATGGAAGGTGAATTACCATGCAATTTATTTAAAATACACAAATAGTCTAGTAAGACTTTTGTATAAATCTTGGAGAAAATTTTTGTTTTTCTAATTTATTTCTTCCCTCCTAATTTTTAAAAATCTTTAAAGGTTATCAACTGGCAAACATCTCTTCACATTCCACCGCAAGCTAAACTGAGTCCTGAAGCTTCTGATCTTATTATTAAACTTTGCCGAGGACCAGAGGATCGCTTAGGCAAGAATGGTGCTGATGAAATAAAAGCTCATCCATTTTTTAAGACAATTGATTTCTCTAGTGACCTGAGACAGCAGTCTGCTTCATACATTCCTAAAATCACACACCCAACAGATACGTCAAATTTTGATCCTGTTGATCCTGATAAGTTATGGAGTGATGATAATGAGGAAGAAAACGTAAATGACACTCTCAACGGATGGTATAAAAATGGAAAGCATCCTGAACATGCTTTCTATGAATTTACCTTTCGAAGATTTTTTGATGACAACGGCTACCCATATAATTATCCAAAGCCTATTGAATATGAATACATTAATTCACAAGGCTCCGAGCAACTGTCAGATGAAGATGATCAACACACAGGCTCAGAGATCAAAAATCGAGATCTAGTATATGTTTAACTCGCTAGTAAGTAATTGTAGTAAGGATTTGCAAAGGGGCCTGAAATGGAAGGTTTTTTGAGGTTCTGACAGTAAAATTATGCAAGTGTGACAGAGCTATGTATCTGTGCTCTGTGTACAATATCTTATTTTCCTAAATTATGGGAAATCCTTTTAAAATGTTAATTTATTCCAGTCTTTTAAATCAGTAATTTAGAAAAAAAAAAGTTATAAGGAAAGTAAATTATGAACTGAATGTTATAGTCAGTTCTTGGTACTTAAAGTACTTAAAAACAAAAAATAGTGCTTTGTTTAATAAAAGGAGAAGCTTTGTTTATCTATTTGTATATATGCTAAATAATTTTAAAAGACAAGAGTTTTTGAAATTTTTTTGAAAGACAGTTTAGTTTTATCTTGCTTTAACCAAATATAAAACATATTCCACATTTACAGAGCTTTTCTTTCCCCCCAACCTTGTTTTTGGTACAGAATAAGCTAGAGAAATTAAGCCATCATGTTGGTGAGCTAATGATAATCTGTGTAATTCACATCGTGGAACTAAAATACAAGGTTGAAATAATATTAATGTTTATCAGAATGAAAAATAATGCAGTTAATTTTCCCCCCCCTTGGTGGAATATTTAATCTTCTAGCATTTATTTCTGAAGAATTTCTGGCTTTAAAAGAAGCCAAAGCACTACTAGTTTCTTTCTATATTGGTATTTTTAATGCTGCTTCCAATTTTAAAAGGGAAAAAAGCTGCCATAAATCAACATTTTCAAATACTAAAAGCTAAAGTCTTTCATATTTTTACTTTGAAATGAAAAAAATATTTCCCACCATTCTATATTGAGAAATTATTTTCAGTTTCATATAAAATTTTGATTAGCAATTATTGTGGGTACTCATTTAAAAAGTACTTTTTCTATATAGTGACTAGTTTTGATTATGTCATCAATGTTACAGGTTTTCTCTTTCAGAACAGTGTTGCATATACAGATTGTTACTGGCAAAGGAAAATCTGGCTATTTGGCAATATTTTACCTAAGTGCAGATTAATAGATGAAAAAATTAACTGTTAATTGAGATAGATATTAATAATTAGGGAAAGTTATATAGTGGTCTTAGTAGAAAATTCAAGTCCTCTTAACTTATTTAAGGTTAAATATGTTTTCAACATGTCTATTATACATAACGCTTAGGTTCTAAGGAAGACTCATGGTTTCAAACCAAACTACACATAGCTTATCTTTTAGGAAGTGGAAAAAGGTCTATTTTGACTACCGTAAAATTTGTATTTTATTTTATTTCCTTTTCTCATAGAATTGTTTTATCAAAACTTAGTATTTGTGAATAAGAGGCATAATTTTAGTGATTTTTCAAACTTTTAACTTTCTTCATATAAAAGCTAATGGAAAATGGAAACCATGTATGTAGTTAAAGGCAAAGCTGCTCCAGTTGAATGGCAGGGAGGCCAAAGAACATTTATTACTAACATTTCCCACATTTCTACAGGTGGCCTCTTAGAGCTCAGCTTGAAAAACCACTGCTGTGTTATCGTGGGCTTTTTGGGATCAACGTGGGCTTTTCGTGGTTCTTTTGAGAATCTGATGAAAGCTGGTGACTCTCTCTTCAGAGAAAAAATGCACACCCACACATACACATAAAATGTTGCATGTTGTTTCAGAGGGTTCTGGACATGTTGAAACCTGTCACAGTCTCTAGGTTAAGGACATCTATCCTATAAGAAAATTGATACATTAACCTAAGAACTTTGCTTTTAATTTACTGATTCGTACTCAGATTAGTACATCTTACATAAACATTGATAGTTTGTGATGGAAAAGGCATATAGCATGTGATAAGATAACCTTAACAAATGATAACCTTAACAAACCTCTCTCTTACTGGGACAACATTAAGATGTTTTTAAATACACCAACACCATTTTGAGGACACTGAAATGTTTGGCTCATTACAGGCTTAATACAGTAATGTTTCTGAAGGATTTATAATCAGAGAATTGTAAGAAAATGCACTATTATGAGATGGCAGTCTTCACCTCACGGAACATTTGCTTAGTCCCATTAAATCCTATGCAAAACAAAGTAATTAGTTCAAGAATTTTTAGCTTGTTACTCACATTTATAAGATATCCCTCTTGCTCTTTGGGCTTTTCCAGTCAGATTTATTTAAATTTCATTTAGTTGTTTTACTTCTGGACTATGGTGCAATACAGTAGAAAATAACTTTGTTACATTTATGTTGTAGGAAAACTAAGGTGCTGTCTTCTTCTTCCCTTCCCACAAAATCTGTATTGCCACTATTTGTATTTGTCAGATGTAACAGACACTACAAATTTTGTATTCTTCTAAAATTTCCTCTGACAGTATAAGCCTTCTGTGTTTATCTGAAGCAGTATACAAGCCTTTGGTATCTGCAATTTTAATAGTTTGGATATATTTATTAGCCATTTTATTCCTGAACTACATCCAGTTCTTCCAGTATAGAATCTGGTGCTTCCTGACCAAAAAAATGAGAACAAAAACATAAAAAATATAGATGCTCTCAATTGAAATGGAGTGAAAACATTGGTTCTACATGTTTTCTTTTTAAAATAATTTTCTCATTCATCAGAAAACTTGCTGTCTTTCTTATGCTTACCCCTTTTTATGCATATCAATAGTATTTATAAAATATGTTCTATAATTATGTTATTGTAGATACTGTTATGTATTGTCCAGTGACATCATAAGGCAGGCCCTATTGCTGTATCTTTTCTACCTTCTTATTTGTAATAGAAACTATAGAATGTATGATTAAGAAGTCACTTTGAGATTGACTTTTTAAAAAAGTTATTACCTTCTGCTGTTGCAAAGTGCAAAACTGTGAGTGGAATTGTTTTATTCTGACTTAATAATATGTTAGAAATTAGAGAATACAGTGGGAGGATTTTTAGACATTGCTGCTGCTGTTACCCAAGGTACTTTAGAAAAAATTTTTTAATCAAAAATAAACAAAAATTCCTTTGGTATTTAACGTGAAACATTTAGCCTGTTCATTTTAATCTAAAGCAAAAGTAATATGGGTCAACATATCGGTATATTTGTAAAATGCCTTAATATATCCCTTTGCGGAAGGCACTACACAGTTTACTTTTATATTGTATTGTGTATATACGTATTTTGTATTAAATTGAATCAATGGCAACACTACAGTTTTATAAAATCATGCTTTGTTAGAAAAGGAATTATGGCTTTGCAGTATAACTAAATTGTTTTGCATACTTCTGAATGTAATAGATATGAATAATCAGCCTGTTTTTAATGAATCTATTTGTATATTCCCAATCATTTTCTCTAGTGTAATGTTTGCTGGGATAATAAAAAAAAAAGCAAAATTCAAATCCTTCAATTAAGTGTGGAAAGCTAACTTTTAAGCTGCTTAAGTATGTCAATTATTTATTTATTTTTCATTTTCTATTGCTACAACATTTAAGTATGTCAATTTTTTAATTCAAAAGTTTCTTTTAATATTTTTATTCTTTAAGAAAATTTATGATTAAAAATTTGATGCTTTGGAATTAAAACATATAACTAATGATAGTACCTAGTTAGGTTAAGGCAAACCTAATATAGTGTAAATGTCAGATATTTCCATTTAAATGTTTTCATTTTTGTCCAATATAAATATAATAACTTTTGTGTTAAAGACTTCCTTCAGATTGTAGGTTTAAAACTTTTTAATTATTAAGTTCTACATTTAATATCATTTGAGTATACTTTATAATTTTTACTTATTTTATTTATTTGCTTTTTTAAGAGACAGGGTTTTGCTTTCACCCAGGCTAGAGTGCAGTGGTGCTATCATTACTCACTATAACCTTGAACTCTTGGGCTCAAGTGATCCTCTTGCCTCAGCCTCCCAAGCAGCTAGGACTACAGGCTCATGCCATCACACCCAGTTAATTTTTAAATATTTGGTAGAGATGGGGGATCTCACTGTGTTGCCCAGAGTGGTCTCAAACTCCTGGCCTCAAGCAATCCTCCTGCTTCAGCCTGCCACGGTGCTGGTATTACAGGCATCAGCTATTGTGCTGGCCTTGTTTATAATTTTTAAAGTATGAAGTTGTTGGTTAATCTTCTTTCCTTTATTTGTAATCCTTTATCACAAATTCTTACTAGATAAAATATACATATTGATGTTTTAATCTCATCTCAACTTTATATGGATGGACAAATACTAAATTTTTCTTCCTCTTTTTAAGAATTACCATCATTATGTTTCCTTTTATCTCCTTGTATGTACTCCTTTATAAATTTGTATTTGGCCTGCATGAGGCCATTGTACAGCTGACACTAGTTGAATTATTCCTATGATTACCTTGCCTCATTGTGGACCCGCATTTGGCATACTTAAAATTGTGACTATGCTGTGCCAAAGTCACACACTCACACACACGTCTGCTTTTGTATATGAAAGGTAAGAGGGAGTTTGCCAAATGTAAGTTTGAAGCATAAACAGTTATTGTCCGCAGTGTCTGGTCTTTCCTTCTTCTCTTCAGTAACAGAGTTGCCCAGAGACTCTGAACATTTTGCTGGATTCAGACTCTGGATGGAACTTTGGGTTGTTTCCCTGGGTTAAGTTTGTTCCGTGATAGGAAAAAAAAAAGATTCTCACGAATGCCTAGCTCCCAGAGGAGTTGACTAATGACAAAGGCTCCTCTTGTTTCCCAGTATCCATCCTCCCATTGTTCCTTTTACTAATAGAACTCCCTTGCCTTTCTGAGTTTTGACTGCCCCACTAGAGTCCATGTTTCTCATATTCCCTTGTAATTAGGTGTGGCCACATGACTAGGTTTTGGCCATTGTGATATGAGCAGACATGATATGTGTAAATTCTACATGCACTTAAAGTTGATATTCCTTGCTCACTACTTGCTCTTTCCCTCTTCCCACTTGATGGAACATGTACATAGTGAATTTATGTTGCACATGAAAATTAAGAAAACACTAGTGATGGTGGATCAACAAAATGAATAGAACCTGGTTA